CGGCATTCCAAAAACTCTATTATACAATAGCAATCTTTTTCGACATTTCTCAGACCTTCGATAGAACATGGCACCAAGCTCTAAACTAGTATAAAATAAAAAAATAGGTACACCACGATATCTTACACAAATCATTTTCAACTTCCACGACAATAGAACTTTTGCGGTTACAGTTGATAACCATCACTCTAAAGCGGTCAAAGTAGGCCTTCTCCAAGGCTCCCCGTTATTTCTTGCTCTTTATAACTTGTACGTAGCCGACCTACCGAAACATAGTAAAATAAAACCGCTCAATTTGCAATGACGTGGCGATATTCATCAGGTCCCGCCATAAACTGTTTAAAAATCAATCTTCAATTATACCTACACCGAATTGGCAGCTGGAAAGACAAAAATAAAATAGAAATAAATCCGTCCAATCCGAACCTGTACAATAAGATCCTCATAATGAACCTATAAAATATCTAGGACTTTTCTTAGATACTCGACTCAATTGGAAAACAACTATCGACAATAAAGTTGTACAAGCAAAAAAAACTTTTCCGACTAAATGCAATAATAAATAGACCATACAATACTGCGTTATTGCTGAATAAAACGATCATTACTGCATGCCCAGTTTGGATCAGCGCAGCCAAAGCTAATGCCAAAAAATCCAAGTAATCCAAAATCAGTTCCTCCGCACCATCAGAAATGCCTCATGGTACATTCCAATGCTTAACTCCATAAAGAATTCCAGCTAGAACCGATAACCAACGCAAATATACTCAACCTATTCCCTCTAAGATTCTGCAAAAATCCAATTCACAAAACACTCAACAAGAATAAATTTCCTTTCCATTCATTCCGAAAAAGATTCTCAAATCTCGAAACAAAGTAGATACATTATATAAAGATACTTCTACCACTCTAGTAGTAATGTAAGTTGATTTTTAAGATTATTAGTAAGATTATTGTAAGTTAATTAGTAGATATAAGCAATTATAAAAAATGTAGTGTGTATTACACACTGAGCTTTGTATTGTCATATCTAAAACAAAATAAATGAAAGAAGGCGAAAACAGCACAAACCAGATTGGAATGAAGACTTATTTTTATACAAGAAATTGGTTTAGATACATTTCATTCACAACCTGATAACGAGAAAACACATAATTGAGTAAGTGTCACAAATATGACTCACCGGTTTAAAAAAATCTTGACCTTGTGTACACGAGAAGAAATACTAGTATGTTTAATATATTTGTAAGTCATATGTTGGAATAAATGGTTATGTTGCCGGAAAATGTATGAAAAAGAATTGCACAGTCAAGTCGAGAATATAAGGTGATGTTAAATTTATTATTTAAATCTATTATCTATTTAAATCTAACATGATATTATTAGCATGTTAATAATACAAATCAGTTGTTTGTGATTTCAATTTAATTTCTCTTTAACGTAACACCTTCAAAAATTTCATAATTTCATGGTTCTTCCACCCCCCAAGAACTTTGCCCGGCCTTCACCTGAGTGATAAATTTCCTCGCATACTTTGAACAACGAAACGAAGGAAGGTCGATTTGAAATCTCCTCTCGGTCGAAATAGAACAGGTTTCGCATGCTACCTGTTGGTCTGGTGAACCACTGTTTTGGTACTGTAGCCAACGATAAGCAAACTGAGAAAGAGTAATTGTTCTCGACTTCAAGCACTTGCCGCGATTATTATTCTACGTACGCCTGGAGAATGCAACCCGCTGCACAGGAGTTCAGCCAGCTGCAACCTTGCACTGACCACCCTTTACCAATCTGACACTTACCATGACCCCTGACGTCATTTCCTTATAGTTATCAGCAGCTTTGGCGACTTTTGGAATACTTATTCATTCTTCTCAGCTGTAAGAAAACGAGATTTTGACAATGGAAACAAAAACGTTCTAAGAGGAGTTCCTACGTAACGTCGGTGCACAAAATTAACGACAACTCCAAAAAATCGAAAGCGAAATGTATATGTAGTTCTACTGCAAAATAGTCATATTTAAGATATCTATTTAAAGGCCGCATAAACTCGAACTATTATCAACATATGTACTCGGATGCCGCAATAAATAACTTCCTTTACTCTGCATTTACCGGAAACGCCAAATCATTTTTACTTGTCCGTACACGTACGTATATACAGGTACCTGAAGATAATATACGTAGTATAGGGAAAGTTAAGTAATGCTGCGGAAATCAATTTATAGATTTCGAAGGAAATACACATACATTTGGCGTCTCCAGATACCGAAAAAGTGTTTTTTCTAAACTACCGAGTCTCTATATTTTTCTCTGTCCGTCCATCCGCCTGGTGTCTGTGAACACTACTATCGCCTAAACCATACGTAGGATTTTTTTCAAATTGAAGAAACCCCTACCCATCTGGCTCAAGTCAAATCGTTGTGATTTTGAAAAAAAAAAAAAACATTCTTCAAAAGTTGGGGCTACTTTACATGAAGTCCTCCGGACTTTCTCACAATTTTATCAAAAACGGCTCTAATTTTTTTAAAAATGTCATGTAAGAATAGAGAAACATACACTTATAAAAGTGTCATAGGTCCGATTTTCACGTTTAACTCTGAATTTTCAAAAATTTCAGAACTTGAGATTTTTTGGTGACTTCCTACAACTACAAAATTAAAGATAGATATTTTTCCTTCAGAAATAATTGTTATCCATAGCGAGTTCTTTCATTAAATTCATGTACATTTTTTTGAAAATGTTGGTAGCTTGCGAGCAATATTGAGTGCAATTTGTGCAATTTTAAACATTACAAAAACAATATTTTCTCAAAAATAGCTCCAATATTTTTCTTTACACGAGTGGAAGGGATTCACGCTGTCACATGTCATAAACGCCATTTTGATTTATTCTTTTATTTTTCAAAAATTACCGAAATGTAATTGTATTGACTTGTCTATCACGTCATTAATATTTACATTAGCTGTAATTTATTCACGTTATTATATTTATAACTTAATGTGCTTTAAATAATATCATATAAAGTTTCTCGAAAACTCAACAGTTTTCTGCGAAAACTAGCTCAAAATTCTGCATTTTCAGAAATACTCAAACGCCATTTTCTCAAAAACCGCTTAAGATTTTTTCTTCAAGCTTTTCGAACGGATAGTGCTTTGCACCTTTTAATATGAAAATGTTTCGGGGTATTTTTTTAAATTACGTAAATGTTAACAAATAGAAAGGCCACTAAATCCGTTAATTTACACATATCCAGCTATTTGTAAACACTACTGAATTAATGTACCCTAAATGACTTCTAATTGAGATTTTCGAAAATGTTCTGTGAAAAAGAGCTTCCAATTTCGAGTTTACAGAACTTACACGCCATTTTCTTAAAAACGGCACCAAAGTTTTTTAAAGAAAATTGTCATTTATGTCGAGTTTTTACTGCTATTTATTATTCTTAAAATAATGTTTCTGTTCTATTATTATGAAACAGAAAAATTAAGAAAACTTTTTAAAAAATGTATTTTGGACGGTGTCAGATGGCAGTTGGCAAGAATACGTGTCAAGTTCGTATAGCTAGCCGGGACCAAAGGAAATAGAAAACCAATACGGAAAAGTCTGTACCATTCTATAGCACCACTAGTTATATCTTTACTCAATTCTTAAAGTAATCAGCATTTCCGTTCGAAATGTATTTTCATTTCTTTAATATATTTAATCGTTTGTACACATTAAGCAATTTAAATTCATCGTGAAAAATTGTCACAATGTTAAAAAACTATCACTTGTTCAAGCATAAAAATCGAAGTAGTTATTTATCATACGCATTTCCTATGGCAAACACGTTGAATATTAATCTGTTATATTGAAATTCATTAAATATGGCCTTTGTTCAATCACCTGCCTCTCTACCTCTTATGAATGTTGCATCGCAGCTTAAATTAGCCAATAGAGAAAAGTAAGAAGAAATATCGGACAGAAAGAGTGATTTTTAATTACACTGTCCTGAATATGGCACGCCAGATGTATTGGTAAAAGAAACTGGTGCTAATTTTACGAGCGTATTAGTCACAGAAAAGAAGAATATATTTCACCTACGTATGAAAATTTATCATCAATGCTGAATGTGAAGACGTTCGTATGACTCATTAATGCTTTCGGATCGAATACGATTTATTGAAATGATCTGATTCTTCATGAATCAGAAACAAAGAACCGGAATTGATATGACAAATATATTTGCTGAATGGTGACACGTTCATAATGCGATGTACGTTGAATAATACCATAACTCACAATCAGAAAATGTAGGTGGTGAAATATCCATTCATTCAGCTTGGATCTGAAGCGATTGATGGCGAATTTCCCGATGGTTTCCCGATCAATGAGATGGAAGATAAAATGTTTTATATTCAGGTATGAGTGATTTGTTGAAAGCGTTTTTATAATTTTTCTCAACAACTGAGTACCTTCCATCAACTCATCAAGGATATTGTAAATTGACTCCTTCGATTGGTTGTTTCCGAGCTTATCAGTCGCTATAGTAATCAGTCTTGCGAGTGCAGTGAGATTTTTATGAGCGGAGACGCCATAATTCCTCCTTAATGGCTAGAGTCTGGCGCTGCCCTCCGTACATGGCTCTAGCGATGGATTGCCCCTTCTGTCCCTTCGGTCTCCCCCAGCGGCGTTAGCTTTAGTCTCCCGACTGGTCATCCGACATACCGCATATCTTCTTTCTCCAATCTTCCCTCTTACCTCTTGTCTCCCTTCCTCTCGAACCGATCACATTCATACTTTGAAAGTGAAGCGACAAATATATCTGTAAGAATCCGTTCCCCGTGGCTTCTCAAGTTGTGCGCTGGACAAATTGGCTTGGAGGCGCAGCCGTCGCCCCATCACTCGGTCGGGCGCGCGCGCGGCGTGGGCGCCAGCGCGGCAGGGCTCCGCGGCGCGTAGCGCGCAGTGGGCGCGGGGCGGGGCAGGGCGGGGCGGGGGAGGATGCGGCGATCACGTGGATGGCGGGGCGGCCGCGCCTATATAGCAGCGCGGAGGCCGGGCCACCGCCCAGTCCGCCCGCAGTCGCTCCACTCTCAGCGCCGCCGGCCTCTCCACCGCCTTCGCAACAAGTAAGTGCCCTTGCGGCCGCCGCCGGACTCAAACGGAGGGCGCCACTCTACTCCGATCGGCATTCGGCGAGGAGCGAGCAACCGACTGCTCGCGACTCGTGTGGCGGGGGTGTCCATCTTTTGGACACATCAAAAGAAGCGAATACCACTTCGGGTACTCGACGGTGGGCAAGCAGCCCTTTTCACGCGAGATCGTCAAATTTAATTTATGCGTTTATAATTTAATTTTAATATTTTTATTTAACTTGCTTATTTTTAAAAAAACAGTAAAAATTATAAGTAATGTATGGGAGAGAAATGTTTCCTGTGCGCGTTTTCTGGAGCTCCAGAAATTCCTACGTACCAACGTGAGTGGTAGGTAAAATTTGAAAACTAAAAAAAATCGCGCTCTTGTAATACAAACCATTTGCATCAGCAAACACAGAAAATTATATTTTGTGGTATTGTGGTGGAAGAACTTTCCCCCGACAAAAAAATACAAAGAGCACAACAAAATGAGCAAAGCTACTTTTGTATCCTAAAGCAACCCGAAGGAAGATCTCAATCTTCGTTCAATAGGTTACAACTTACATTGACCAAATCCCATTATTTTTTAATGAAAATGTATACTTAACCAAATGAAATTCCTAATTTGGTGGATAAAATATGGATAAAAAATGGATAAAATATTTGATTTCAAATAAATTTTATTAAAAAGAATTTTGATTTCTTCCTGTATATTTAGATCTTGAACAATGGCGGATCTATTCAGCTTCTATTCTACAATAAGAAATTTGTGTATATAATTCCAAGAGTCGGAACATTAAAATCCATTAAATATGCACTTACTTGTCTTAACATTTATTCGATAAACAATATTTTACGGCAATTTGTTGGATGTTAGAGTACCAAAATATTTTTCTTAAATAATTGAGATATTGTTTTGAGGACTTGAAAAATTCGGGAGTAGCAGGTTGGTATGTGTAATTTTTGAACAGATTACAACGATGTATATGGCATTTTCAATTTATGATTCTTCGCGTTTGCTCTCGAGTACTTGGTCGAGTTTCAAAATTGCCGCGATAAATCTTCGATACAGAAAGAGCTCTCTGATGTCAAAGTATTACAATTAAAGTAGCGGGAAGAACGTGAACCTAGTATGTCTAAAAAGTATTTCTTATGAGAATGGTTTCCAATAAAAAAAGTATTTCTTTATTTGGTGTCTAAAAAATGAATCGCAATCGCAAGCAATGAGACCGTGAGAATCTGGAGACATGATTACGTTTATTGAAAGACTAAAAATGTACATATTTATATTACAAATCTTTTTGATTAGTCTTCGAACACATGATCTGCATTGTACTTGTATAAAAAAACTTGGTATTAACCTACTCTGTTGTTAAATTTACTTTCTTCAATTACTTTAATTCTGTAAACCAAAAGTAACAACGGAACCATAGAATTCATTATATTGTCATTTCTATTATTTAATAAAATCCAAATTGCGGCATCATGATATTACTGTTTATTATGATTACCAGTTTTTTCACAAACAAATTTGCTATTATTAATTTTAATTATTACCATTATTATTGCATTTTCTATGCCTTTTCGGTTATTACAATAATCTAATATTTTCACAATCATAATTCAAGTGGTCTGTTATATAAACAAAAGTATTTAGTTTAAAATAACGGAAAACTACCATATCCTAAGTACCATATCAAAAATTTGACTTTATGTACTTTGTTAATTTGCGATTAGTGGTATAAATTATGTAAGACCTTCAGTAACATTGTCGAAAGAATGAAAAAAACAAAATTCTGCAATAGGCCGACCCAGCGACTAAGTTCAAATAAGGGGTCCTCCATACATTACGTAACGATAGAGAGGGGAGAGAGTGTGAGACAGCGGTACATAGGAGCGGGGACATATTTAAATGTTACTTTACATTAATCTTTAATTTTAAATTTTTTTAATAATTGCCGAAATAATTATTTTATTCAGTCTTATAAGAAACAGCAAATTAATCACAAGTACAAAAGTATACAAATTTAAAAAATGCACATAAATTTTAAAAAATACTTTCTGTAAATTATTATAACAAATGGAAATATTTTTATCAGTGATATACTGATTTAATCTGATAGATTACAGAAACAGGTGTGTGATGTATTCTAGAATCCAATTAAATTGGCGCAGATGACTGGGTCCTGCGTCACTGACAACAACATGTGCATGTCTTGTCATGCTTTTTTCTCTCCTACACATCCTTCCTTTCCTTAAAAATTTCCCCCAATATTGTTATGTGCAGTCCGCATCGCCAACTACTTCTGAGTTTAATGATAATATATTTTATTGTATAACACAAATACAGTGAATACAACGGGTCTCTGGTACTTAATATAGTTTTACTTAATATAAATAGGGATCTTGTTGCAAGCGTTACGTAATTATTTAGGGAGAGTTCAAACGCGCTTTACTGTAGCGTTGCAAGGGGAAAGGGGGTATTAAAAAAACCTCCAAATTTGCGTTACATAATTTATGGACCGCCACTATGCGGAGTTCCACTTTTCGCAGTATCCAGTCGCTTCATCCAATCTTTAGCAGTTTGCTGCTGGCCACAAAGGTTCATTGGTCGGAATTCTCCAGTCGTCCGAGTGTTGTTTTTGACTCAAAGCGAAGTATTCACGCAGTTTGTTATGAATTCGAACAAGATTTGGCCTTGTCTTACGCACTACAGGAATGACCTTCAGGAGGTTCCCAGACGTAGTACAAATGATCCTACGCTGCTAGTGAATGTAGCGGCTGACAACTCAACTAGTATTGGCAGAAACGCACGTGGTTAGAATTTCTGAAAGAACGTTTGACGCGCGGCAAGGTCAAGCTCTGTAACTTTAAATATATCTCCTCGGTTTTGTGTTTACGTTGATGATACAATGGACCAACTTTGACAAGAGATGTCTGCAGAAGAAATATTACATACAGAGATCTTTTAATGAAAAGAAATAGACTCGGAACGAATAAAAAACCGGAAGCTGCTACAACTACGAATTAACTTTTTGGCAATTCCTTTGAGCATTTTCTAATGTTGTAATGTTCTGGTGTTAACTGTTAGTAACATTCCTTTTTTATATAATTGGCACAGTTTCATTTTTTGTTTATATTTTTGCGTTTATACCGTAGATTTCTCAGGACTCTAACTGATCAAATATTTAATATGTATTATATTACAAATGATATGTCTATGAATACATTTATGTAAAAATATTGATTACACTAAATATTTACATAAAGAAAACGTATATTCGGCTGTACGTACTCACATTATTAGAATCTTTTGGCGACTTTGTAAAATATATGATAGCAGTTTTCTGATGAATAATTGTTCACATTGCAATTATATGCCCACTCACATAATCCTGTCATTACACACATTTGGTGTACATTTCCATCATTAATTGTCAACTGCGAATTCTTAGATTTTGAAGAGTCATCGCTGACACAATTTACTCTGTTTCGCATCGTATCAGATATCATCCATGTTATCTTTATTCCCCAAGAAGAAATGTAAATTGACGCCCCTTCGGCATACGCGACGAAGATACATGCAGTTTGTGAATGCATTTCCCTGCGTCACTTTCAATTGACTGATAAAATACTTTTTTTCGCAGTGACCTTCGACGTCAAGGGCAAGTACGCGCTGGTGACTGGTGGCGCCACTGGCATCGGCCTCGCCTACGTGAAAGAGCTCCTCCGGAATGGAGTGGCTGTGAGTATTCGTAACACCTTAATCTACAAAAAAAACAAACAAACAAACAAACAAACAAACAACAACAACAACAACAGCAACAACAACAACAACAACCATTTACCACCAAACAACACCATTATGAATTTCCTATAGCAATCCACGAGACAATTCAAAGACAGTGTTGTATGCAAGCCCAATTTGGATCAATTCTATTAAAACTAACCTCCACAAACAAGTCCTTCAAAATAAATTTCTAAGATTAATTACTAATGCCCCTTGGTACATAACCAACAATCAACTTCACATTTAACTTAGAACGTATAGATCAATAATCACATCGCCTATCTTGCCACCAACATTTGTTATAATCTACCCAGTCCTATCACCTTTCACACTTGCCAAAATACCCATCTATAAAACATAAATTACAAATAAATATCCATACCTCATACATGCCAAAAAATGCAGATTTAGATTCAGACTGATAATCGGAAATGGGATTTCCTCACTCTTATAATAGCACGTAAGTTTTGAATTTCAAATTAATGTGGATAGTTATATTTATTGCTCTATGTAATTTCTTCAGAAAATACTCAATAAAAAAATTGATAACTACCACATTAAATTGACTTACTTTGTCATTCATACGTCATATAAACGTGCATAGGATGCAAATATAATTTTTAAAATGTTAAAATAATTTATTTGTTATATTTGATTTATGCAGGTTTATTATATAGGTACAATGTTTCTAAAATGAAATCACATTCATACAATTAGAATTACACTTCTTAAAGACGCACATACATTTGAAAAAGAACCCATCAGATTATAAATGACTTTCAATATTCATATTTATTTGACACATACTACGTTGTACGTGCGGGAACATGGTAGACATGTCGTGTCTACAGTGGATCGTGAAGTACTTGTGCTCTATTATAGATTTAAAAACCTACATGAATATTACATGCTCTTCATCGAGTTTATATAAAGCCTACTACTACACTCCATGCATACCAATCAGTGTTACTTAACTCATGCTACTTTCAGCTATTAATAAATAAATCAACAAAACCAAAAACAATTACTCTATAAAATTAAAGTAAATTATATTATTTAATAAACAATTATTGAAAGTATTTCAGTAATTTTGAATAATTTAAAAGGAAAAAATATTCTTTCAATTTCACGAATAAAACACATTTCTGAAGCGTATGATTTTTTTTTTTAATTTGTTGCGTCTGTTACACACAAGAGCACACGCACCCTCTAGAGGCCGCTGGGTAGTCAAGTCATGTCAGTCGCAGGCAAGTCTGGGAATCGCCGATAATGGCGTCTTCGCGCTTGTGTCATCTACCTGCAGGAATTGGGAAGGAATAAGGCTAGAGGATTCTACGGGAATCAAATCCGGAACCTCAGTGGTGAAAGGCAAGCGACTTCGCCATTTAGCCCCGAGAGCATTGCTTATTGCACATTTCGATAATGAAACTAATATTTAATAGAATTACTTAAAAATCTTTTTACATAAAAACAACAGTTTTTATATAATTTCACACGAATTATAGAATACATATTTCAGTAATATGTGAATACGTTTCCTTAGTATTTCCTCTTCCATTCATAGCATTTCAGAGTACCCCGGCACATGGTAACCTTTTCTCACCTCTTGGCATTGCTATTCAAATACACATTTATTGCATTTGAATAGGTAATAGTTTCATTTGCGCACTTGTGAAAAGAATTTGTACATGATTGCAGGCTGTCGCCGTCGCAGATCTTGATGACCGCAAGGGAGATAACGCTGTGAAGGAGCTCAATACCGAATTTGGTAGTGGCAAAGCCATTTTCATAAAATGTGACGTCACGAACACAGACGAACTCACAGGTAATAAAATGCTTCATAATTATTATTATGCGAATAAAATCATTGCAAATAAAATTAAGTGATTTTATTTGTTACAATTACATTGAATGTTCCGGTTAATTAAAGTATCTTTTCACCTTTACTAACGCATGTTCAATATTTACCTCAACATACATAATCAAATTAAATTCCAAAAATTTAAAAACATGAAGGACAAAAAGCAATGGAATGAAGTGAAAGCAGTAGGAATGGACTTGCTTACAGGGTTAAAAACCGGTGTTGGTGATTATGTTGATGGTAAATGTAATTCGCCAAAGTCATCATTAATATATTGAATCTTCTTTGGCTAGCTACCTTCCAGAAGGCTGCACAGACATTTAAAGGTCTGGATATCGTCATCAACAACGCTGGTATCCTCGATGACTCTCGCTGGGAAATGGAGATCGCCATCAACGTGGTACGTTTTGATGAAAACGAAAAAGTGATTTAGCGGTTCGTATTCAGGTCTAGCAATTAAACTCTCATAAGTTTTCAATTGATAATTAACGTGACGTTTTTGAGAGGCTATGTAAATAAACCACAAGTGCCGCTTTATCTTCGGAGACACTGGTGCATTGATATTCAAAAAAGGATGCTCGAACTCCGAAAAAATTGAAGAATGACCCCAAAGACTAATAGCACATACACACATTTCATATAGACTATATTATTTATTTATTTATTATTTATTTTTTATTTATTTATTTATTTTTATTTATTTATCTATTTATTTGTGTATGTGATCAGAAAATTCTAACACAACAATGCAGAGATAAAACTACTGGAACTTGACATGTCAAATTTGGAATGTAGGCCATAATTTTAATGCATGTAACTATTTAGAAAGATTTTTTCAAATTACATCTCCCGATGAGGTGAGATAGGTGTTTGTTTTTGGAGGATAGCCCGGAGTATGCAGCCACTACACGATTACTACTTGCGTAAAAGAAACAGTGACGGAAACACAAACTTCGTCGATTTGAAACAACCGAAATATAATAGTTTTTTATACCATACGAATGGTAGTGTTAATTATAATATTCGCACATTCACAGCGTAAAGAGAAGTACAGCTGGATGTGAATGCGTATTGAAAATAACACACACGGATTGGCGAACACGCAGATGATATTTCAGTTGTCATTCATAAAAATATATAGCCAATAAAACTATAACTTCAAGAACACGTTCTTGTCTTTTTAATACGGCAATTAACGTGCCCATCCATTTCGAATGTATGCTTAGTCTCGCTACATTTTATTACAGCGCACACCTACTCAAATCATTTTCGTTTTTCGGAAATGGCTATTAATGATTTGACACCTCAATGTCAAAAATAAGAACAAAATAAACAGATTCTCGGAATATAGTTCGATAATACTCGTAATTTAAATATTAAGTAATTTACTTCGAGGATATTTCCGCATCTTTCTTACACGAGTAAAATTTTTTTCGCCTCTTCGAAAGGTGAGCAATTTAAAACGACTTAAGTGCCGAATTTAATCCTCGAGGTTCATATTACCTCAACACGCTCTCCAACGAGCAATTGCTTCAAATTCTCATCACGATCGTAAATACGGGAAACACGCTGCGGGTGCGTGAATTCAAAAGCGAATAAAATTAGAAGGGGATTGACAGGTGTAGCAGGGGAAGGCATTCCAGCATGCGATGCACTGCCTCGCGTTACGAGATAGCAGCATTTGCAATACTTCATGTCCTTCTTTACATCAAAGAAGCTCGTATAATCCGATTGAAGTCGGCGTGGATAGCTGAGGTCGCTGAGAATAAAGCTGCCTCGAGCATGAAGGGTCGCAGGAGCGAATCCCAACCGGGGCATGGATGTTTGTGCGTCTGCATATCGTGACCGTAATCCTCCCATCTTTCTTAGTGGTCGCGTCATGGCCTTAGTAGTTGAAAAGCGACCTTTAATAGGTAAAAAATCCGATAGGAATAATAGATATTTCGATAAAATTCCATTTCAGCCATTTGAACATTTACTATAATCTGTTGAATGTTTTACTACAATAAGTGGCGCATCCAATGGGATGGGGTGGGGGGTCACATGGGCTTCAATTCATGCCAATCCATGCCAGTCCAATCCAATCCAATGATACAAATTTTAGATTTTGCTTAAATGAAAAATAATTTATTAGAAAACAGTGAAGTCTGCAGGACTGTCCCCCCAGAAAAGTCGTCAGCCACTTCTAATTATTATTATGTTTAACAATTCTTCTACTTTAAAAAGTAGTATCTATTCGGAGACCCCGAAAATTCCAAACCCGTAAATCCATTAGTTGTCATTAGGGTTCAAAAACCGATTAAGAATGTAAAAAAACTAAAATTGTAGTGTGAGTTTTCTGTAGTGCTATAGTGTAATCTCCCCCACCAACATCGCTTTCGGCACTTTTCATTACGCTTAGCTGATTAACCACAGCATTCCTGCCAAGCGATTTCATTTATTTTACGGTTTGAGATGACAACACTAAATGTCGAAGCTCTGCTTCGCTATCGCCGAGGTTACGGCTCTGGCCACCTTCTAATTTGATTGTTGGTGACGCGCAGACGGCGGTGGCCCGCGGCACGTGGCTGGCCTTCGACATCATGGGCAAGAACAAAGGCGGCCGCGGCGGCGTTGTGGCCAACATCGCGTCCATCCTGGGCCTGCAGGCCATGGCCGGCTGCCCCGTGTACGTCGCCACCAAGCACGCTGTCGTGGGCCTCAGCCGATCCTTCGGGGTGAGTACAATGCGCGGTTGGGTTACGCTGGGAAAATGAGAGATTGAAGGCAAAATGGATGTATCTAAGGATAGAGGGAAGAAAAGTGACGGATGAGAGGAAGATGAGGGAAAGCTAGTGGAGTAGGAGAATGGGGAGCGAGAGAGGGAAAGAGGGACGGAGGGAAGGAGAGAAAGCGAGAGAAAAGGAGAGAGAAACGAAATGCGAAGAATCAGAGAAAACGGGATAAAATTCGAAGAGAAACCCATGATATGAAATTAAAGAGAAAAGAAGGAAGCGGAAGTGGAGACGGAAGTGAGAGTGTGTAATAAGGCACTGGAGAGGAAAATCAGGGGAATGAAAAAGACTAACAACCATTAACGGTTGTTTCATTCTATTCTATTTCCGCATTAGAGAGAAGGAACGAGAGAGGCAGTGAAAATAGTTCTTTCTCTAACAATTTATCTCTTTAAACATTATTTTCGAAGTAAGAAAATATTTAACAATGATGGGGTATATTCTTCCATAATTGTGTGTCAGTTCTGTAACCTATCTTTTAAATTTAAAACCGTCTTGTTGAAACAAACTACCATCAAATAATTCCCTGCAGGCTTCATCCAACAACGTTCTCTCTTAACCATTGTTTTCATCAGTAGCACCACCTAGCATTATAGGATAGCAAATGCAAACTTTTTAGAATTTCTGTGGAGTTTCTAGTCTAGTCTAGTCTAGTCTAGTCTAATACGTAGGTTTTTATCGTTCCTTCGTTCCCTATAATCTCCAGCTGTCTCTAATGCTTGCGCAGATGCCGTACCACTTTGATCGCACCGGTGTGAAGGTGGTGACCATGTGCCCTGGTGTGACAGACACCCCCCTTATCTCCGAGGCGCACCACCGCCAATTCACCGACGACCTGGGCAAGGAGTGCGGACGCGAACTCGATTCGCTGCCTAAGCAACAGTATGTATTACTCAAACCGTCACAGATGTCCACGAATTCTTGTTCTATCGTCCTTATTTGTTATTACAATATTATTATAATATTATATAATGATATTATTATTACATTTATTTTACTATTAGACTATTATTTTATTTTCTGCTCGCGAATAGGCCAACTTGGACCACGTGTAAATGCACCCTGCAATTACCGGGGCTCAGTATCATTATCTCGGGCAAGGTGCATGTACTTTTTATCAGGGGATCAGCATTTAGCTGGGACCTATTTTTATCCCCCCAGGTTGTTAGTTCTGGGGGTATAGAATATGAAATGGTAATGATAGGAGTGAGAGGACGACACACGCATACAAACACAAATACACTTTACGCAATAATATGAAATTTGTTTGATTCAGACATGAACCCAGACTCTAAGAAGACATTATACTTTGTATTTCAACATCAGTTGAAATAGGTGCATTATTGCTTGAAACGAATCTTCCTAATTAGTTTTTCTAATTTCACTAATTAGAATGGTAAATGACATCATATATTTAGTCCTTTAATGAAAATATAAGAAAGACTATTTTCAGTTTATGAGAACAGATGTGAACCAAATATCTGTACTAATTTGAGAGTCCAAATTTCTATTTCAAAAACCAAGTCATCGAAATATTCGCACGTATAAGACTACAATTTTGATCTTAGAGGTGTTGAGAGGAGCAGTAGTTTACATACACATTGTGTGATGTTTTACTATTTACAAAATTATATTTATTCACAATATTCTATCGATGGGCGTATTGTGCTTAATATTTCAACAAATGAAATATCCGCGTTATTCCTTACAAGAAATCTTACAAATTAGATTAACTAGTTTTACTATTTAGTCGTAAACTACATTTCATATTATAGTCTTTTAATAGAAAGATCCAAAAGACTGTTTTACGTTTATGATGGCAGACGCGATCAAAAAGCCATCATTAATTCCAGAGTCTAATTTTCTTATTCCAAAAGGCAAGCCGTCAACACAATGACTGTTTCCCCTCAGGCCCGAGAACGTCGCCAAGGGCATGCTGCACATCATCCGCAACGGGAGCAACGGCAGCGTATGGGTGAGCGAGGGCGGCCAGCCTGTCTACGAGGTGGCCATCCCCGAGCGCGAGACCATCCGTGTGGGCAACTGAGCGCCCGCCCGCACAACACGTTCGCACCCGCACCCGCACCCGCACCAGGCGCCTCGCGCGTCGCAGACCAATTGTCGCTTGATGCTGTGTCTTTTCTTCTTCGATGCCAAATAAAGTCAATTCCTCGTGTATTTTTCTTCAAAATGCCCGCCTTTTTTTGAAAGCCTTCAGTGCTATCTGGTGGTCAAGCAATGAACTTCGAAAAGCGTACTCTGCGAGTGCGATAACCAGACCTAATAGCCCAGTCAAATTAGACAAATTGAGTGAAAAAACAACAACAACAACTGTTTTCGTTCGAGGAGAAAAAAAACATTTTTCTTCGAAAAAACGAAACATCAATAAAAAGTCTCTCAACTTCAGCTCACCCGCCACCCTTCAGGATTTTAGTATAATGTGCGTTAGGTGCTAACAAACAATAATGCCTAGTTTCAAAACTCAGAGATTTTTTTCCCTTCCATCATCAGTTTTTGGTCTAATTTGTCTGAGCTATAAACCCTAATCCCAATATTACACTTAAAATATTCCCTAATATTATCTTCCTATATTTTTGTGCAAAATGCCCGCCTTTTCGTTTGAAAGCCTTTAGCGGTATCTGGTGGTCATGAAAGCAACTTCGAGAAGCGTACTCTCGCCGAGTGCGATAAAATTAAACATAAATCCTTGTTCCATTTCTACTTTAATTTCTTTTTACTTTTTTATTTATTGCACCGATCAGTGTCTGTCAGTCAGTCTGAACACCACTAGCGCCTAAACTATACGTATGATTTTTCTCCAAAATGAATATCTCAAATTTCTTCAAAATTTGGGAGTTCTTTACACAAAGCCCCCGAACATTTTCAAAATTTTCTAACAAACACCTCCAAGTTGTTTTTAAAATTTCTTGGAAGAATAGAGTAAAATACATTACTGAAGGTGCCTTAGGTCCGATTTTCACAATTAACCTTTTTATCTTTTTTTTTTTAATCGATTTACTAGTTAAAAAAAAGGTTTTATTTTCCTTATAACACTGGAACACAACGTTTTGCATAATATTTCTATGCATCCTCATGTGAGAACAAAAATTTAATATTCTTATGTCTGAAAATGAAAAACAAATTTTCATGATATTGATTGGAATGAAACTATTCCAACAATTCCCTAAAAGGGACAATACACTGTAATCAGAGATGAAATTATGGAATAAAACAAGCATAAGTAAAATAATTTGAGTAATGGGAGAATTAAAAAAACTATTTAAAAAAATAAAAAGACAAATCAACAAAACACAAATATGGAAAAAACATTCCTATTGTAAATACCCTTGTGTCAAAGAGGCAAGTATGAACTGAGTGGAAACAGAATACCATGAAAATAGTTGTGTATTTTGACAACATTGAAAGCAAGTTAAAAAAACAAAATTGAGATAATTCAAAGTGGAAGGAAAAACAAACAGATAGAGAGAAAATAAAGGCAAACGAAGCATATCACAAAGTACTAAAATATTTAAGGGTATATTTATTTACGAGAATATTCTGTCTAAAATAAAAACACCTTTAAGACATTTGTGGCTGCTGATTGAATTGCTGAATTAAAGGGCTAAAAGGAGGGATTAAAATGATCATGTGGATCAAGTACCGAACATTCAGCATTCAGATAGACTCATAATTAATTATTTTCTTCTTCTGAAGTTTTGTCAAATTATGTTTGACCTCTTTGAGAACCTAATAAAAAATTTTGCTGCTCTCAGAGACAATTATATATAACAATTAAATACGTGGCAATGGTACTAAGTAAATTATTGAATCCCAACAACTATTGCTTATATATTACAGCAACTCATTTAGGTAATATGGGCATACACAAACGAGATGGCTCTTAAAGAATGTTTTGAAGGATGTTATTATGTTTTTATATTAGCTAAGAGTTTATTGAAAAGTTATGCTGCAATGCAATATAGATAATAAATAGTAGACAACTTGTAAATATATACTCTGTGGTAGGCCTGTATTATAAATATAATTATATTATTTACTACATTACTAATAATGACTTGTGTGTTAACCTCTCATACCCTTTAACCCATGGCAGCAAGGCAGGTACGTTGCTAGTAGGTCTTAGCTAGTAAAGAGCTGTTGTGCCAAAGTAGATACATACATTAGTAAAAGTACAATGTCTCATTAAAATGAATGAAGGGTACAATGAATTTGCTGCACTCTTGTAGCAGAATGTTGTTCCTAACTACATAATAAGTAATAAAGCAATTCAGATATCTCCTGAAGAAAACTCAAATCTGGTGACATTTAAACAATGTTTTGAAGTATTTATTATCTGCTGATTTTATGGTTATTGGGAGGTTGTTCAAAAAGCTTTGAAGGACACAGAAAAGATCATTGTTAGTTGAAAACTTGCTAGTTTTTATTCTGTGATAATCTGATAGTCCCTATGTCCCTTGAGAATAATAATTATGTACATCAGAATAACTACCCAAATATTGATTACTTTTATTTCTAAATAATAGTATTGCTTTGTGTAAGCATAGAGTGCTAAAATTATTCAATGGCATACTGCATGTGAGAGTGGATTACACCATAGTTGACTGCTAGTAGAGCTCTAGTTTCAAGTATCTTAGGAAGAGTATGTTGGTGTTCATTTTATTACATCATGTTTATTGTAAGTTAGAGTTTGTTCAATGAATATTACTAAAATTGTATGACTGTTTGAATCACATCCTCGTTATCAACTTCCACTTTAATGTTTTGTTGAGGGTGATTAAGAATAACTTTAAAGTTGATTAATACAGTTTTGTCTACATTTATTTTTAATTGATTCAGTGACAAGTAACTTGTTTAGTTTATTTAAAGATTCTGTCAGATTAGTTTCTAGATGACTTGGGCCCATTACTTGCCAAAGTTGTATAATCAGCATAAGAAATTACAAAGAAACCAGAGGAACTTGGAATATCATTAACATCTATCACAGGACTAGTCCTAGCACTGATCCCTGAGTAGTCTTGTGATAACTGTGTTATAATTTGATCTTACATTAAGTAATGTATTTTCAGAATTTCACAAAATTTCACTACTACCTAATGCATGTTCAATTTCATGAAGTAAAATGTACAATACATTCTGCGGCCCTTGTGGTATTATATTACCAATCTTCATCTAAGTCAATATTGATTTCCAATGGAGAATTATTTGCATTCGAAAATTTTGCATGTGCTAATATATCACTTTATCCATCAAATTTATTGGAACATATATGTTCACCACGTTTATTCAATATAATTATATCAGGATGTAAAATATCTCTCTCAAAATTTAAATTTGTTGGAGATGACCATATTTTAAATGCTGATTCGGTTAAATCTGTTGCCTGATTTAAATTACTATAATACCATTTTATTGTATTCTTATTTGTTTTTGCGAAGATGTTTTAAAATGAGTATCATGCGTACCACATCATGGTTGATTTAATAAATCACTATTTAACACTCCATCTAATGATAACTCATAGTATTTCTTAAATTTAAAAATCACCATTTTCAGAATTATATCCATAATTTGAAAATGTTTGCACTGCTAATTCACTAGTAGTTACTACCATATGAACAATACACAATGAAACCGATAATAGGTGAAACCACTTTTATTATGCTATAATATCTTTAAACCGTATTTTAATTCGATCATATTTTATTTCTATAATAATTGCTTGAGATATTTTATTTCAATAACTCCTAGACCATATTTTATTTCAGTAATTTTACGTTTCTTACAACAGCCATAGTTTATTAACAATTTTCCTTTAGTTTAGTTCTTTTTTAAATAAACATGACATGTAGCTTGGTCCAGTTTTGATACAACGTCCATTTCTAAAGCGATAACTATTTATAATTTCCTTTGAAACGGATGTTTGTAACAAAACTGAACCATGATAATATTATGTTAAAATTCATTTAAAAAATAACTGAACTAATGAAAAATTGTGATGATCCTATTGCTGATATAAGAAACGTGAATACAAAATATGGAAATAATAAGTTGACATTGGATCTAAAACCTGGTTAACAAGGTCAAATGTTTAGTTTACCTAATTAATATGCTAATTGTTTAAAAGAAAACGATATAAAAATTAAATTAAGATAACGAAGGATATTATTGAATTAAGATTTTTACAAGATTGAATGCATGAATAATGTATGAAATGGTAAAATTGAGGAAAAGCCTTGTATAACGTTGAATATATGTTAAAATTATATTTTGTAATATATTGTTAAAAGTGTTGCATAAAATGATATACAAAGTATTTTCAAATATGTGGTCTGTGGTTCTAAAATAGACCTCAAGGCATAAAATAAGGATATTTTAGATAAAAATGGATTTAAAAAAATGAATAAATTTCAGAATTTTAATACAATTTTAATGAAAAAATGGAAAACTTTAAAAATCTAAAAATTGTGGGTCTAAAAAATCTGGTCCAGTATGCCCGTTTTATATACTATTCACTTGAAGAGTCAAATAGGACTTAGGATTAGGAATAGGATTCCTTCAAACCTAACCCTTCAAATAGGAATAGGATTCCAAAAAATTGTTTTACAGCAAAATGTTCATCCGTTTCTGTCAGTCAGTCCGTCCATCCATCTGTTTTTCCACATGTCTGTCCGTCCCTCTGTCTGTGCGTCCATCTTTTCCTTCGTCCGTCTGTCTGTCCATTCATCTATCCGCCCATCTGAACAACTCTAGCTATCTCTATCTAACCTATCAACTCTTAACTTAAACTATTCGGAGGACTTTTCGCAAATGAATATTTCCCGGTTGATGTGACCCGACTTAAATGCGATTCTGAAAAACATTCTTAAAATTTTGGGAATAGTACTTTACACGAAGTCCGAACATTTTCAAAATTTTCTCAAAAAGACTCCACATTTTTCTTTACATTTCTTGTAAGGATAGAATGAAATACACTTATGAAGATCAAATAGGTCCGATTTTCTCTGTTAACTCTTAAATGCTGGAAAATTACAAAAAATTCAATTTATTTCGGCATCTTCCTTTAAAGTCAAAGTTCCACCATTCAGGGACCGAAAAATCAGAAACTTTGGAAAACTATCATTTAGGTGGCAATAGATGGCAGATGGGAGGAGGGTTACGCTAAACTGAAAAGCTAGTCCAGATCAAAGGGATGACAAAAATAGCTAGAACGAAATGATCGTAGCCTTCGTATATTTCAATTCATGCTAATGAATAGGGTACGGATTTTTATGTAAATACATATTTTTACAGAAATGAGATACCCACAATCAATAAATTTCTTTAGAGATGACAAGACATTCTGAATGAATTAAGAGCATTATTATTTTATATATTTTTACATATTTTGATATTGTGACAAATTTTTGCATATTTCCTCAAAAATGGTATATTTCATACTTATTTCGTTACATCTTGATACTTTTTTTTTTAAATGCATACATTTGACACAACTTTTCAAACGGAAAATTTCAGTTATCTCTTCGAAATAAATGTTACTAGAATCATCTTTCTTAAAATGCAATGCAATGCTACCATGCTTCTATGACCTGTGGACCTTCGCTATGAAATGTCCAATTAAAACCCCCTCCCTGCTTCTTGGAATCAAGGATGAGTGGTTGTTAGTGAGGCAGAAATAATTTTAACCATGTGTTTACTCTTGTTTCACAGAGCCAACCGTGGCTTGGTCAAAAACTAATATCTTTTTAGATTATCACATTATGGAAATTGGAAGGGAGGTTCCTGTAACCGTCCAACTCCCGGATCCATCACACTTCTATAGCAACCCAATCCTACTATTCACTTAAGCACCAGGTACTCGTCAACATTGTACATACAAGGATCGTTTTTTATATTTCGAATATAACTCTTTTATGAGTGACAAAAATTACTGTACAATTACTTTTCTAGAGATGGAATTTTTTTTCTGTCGCTCAGTGGTGAACTTCAGTTGGTGTCACCTGGGGCAAAGCTAACAGTATCACGCCCCCATGACTTAAGTGTAAAAATATCTATGGATGCATAGATTATACATTTTTAAATTTATTCATTACAATAAACAATAATAATAAACAATAATAAATTTCAATTTTTACATATTTATTACAATTAGTTTATAAGATGTAGTGTTGAAGAAAAACATTTAAATGCATGTCAGTAACACATTAGTTAAAATCCTTAAGATAAATTGATTTTATATAATTTATAAATTGTATTTGATTGAAAATACAAGCATATTTGCACATTATATTGTAAAATTCCATGAAATTCAGAACAATTGCAATATATATTTTAAATAAACATTCTGCAATGTAACATACCTTATCAACAAATGTAAGTTATTTATAAAGACGCATTAAGAGATTTAAGGGCAGCAAACTTATCTATAATTTCATTAAAATCTATGGTTTTTGCAATATCATTTTCTATTGACAATAGAGACAAATCAGATAGTCTTAATTGACTCATTGTAGATCATAAATAAAATTTTATAATCTTTAATTTAAAAAAGCTTCTTTCAAATAAGGCAACAGAAACACCTATTGTAAGAAATAATTTTAAACTGATACCCTTTTACTGATATCGTTTCAAAAACATAATCGATACAAATAATACATGTGATTTTTTTAGTATTACCTCTTAGTTCCATTGACAGTTTCCCCATTAAGATAAAGTAATTGCTGAAATCGAGACTCATTGACTATTGAAGAACAGGCACTTACCGCTTACAGATTGGCGTTTTACTTTATATTATTTTTAGTCTTTGCTTTCTTAGTATTTATGATTTAAATGTATCTTTATTAACTTAATATAAATAATTTTTAACTAAATCATAAAAATTATATAATTACAGCAATACATTTTTTAAATTACTAAAACTAACAAAACTCTTAATATATGCATTTTTAAGTAATTGAATTAAATTATCTAATTCCAAATATAAAATAATTTAATTGGTGTCACCCCTAGAATGGTGCCCCCCCCCCCCAACTACGCCGCTGCTGCCGCTCCGAAATCATGTTAAAATCCCATCGCCGACGTTCTTTACTTGGAAAATACGTATATACAGGAACTTTAAATCCTTTAACTAATTTTTATTTTACATACTTTCTATTTTTTCTTACAAATATTGCAAAAAATAAATACATATGTATTACTCGCGCAACTTTTCTTGAACGATGACCTTGCTTTCCCCTCTCTAGCACAATAAACAGATGAAGGCAAAAGCTTGCAGCAAAGCACTGATGACAACATTCAAAACACATCTTCACTGGCGCGAATAGAAACAATTTTCTTTTGAGACCAGAACGTCTATCCGTTATTTTCTCCAAAAATCTAAAGAAATGACCGAAGCAGGTAAAGATCTATTACAGAAGATACCTCGAACACCTGAGAAAGTTAGAACGCAAATTATTAAGAACGTTGCGAAGGCATGACCATGGCTGATTCTCCAGAGATTGGCATTGCTTTATAAAGTCTAGTGGCCGATTTCGTAACTATTACCCCAACACTACCCGCATTTCTTTAATCCATGGTTCAAGAAAAGTTGCGCGAGTAATACTACAATTTTTGCTTTTTTTTATTTCAATATATTCCGTTTCCTACTAATGAACGAATGAGATTCCTTCTCAGCGTAACCAGTAGTTCCTTCGAATTACACTAGAGAGAGCGGGCGTCTCCAAACCGCCATTTGAAGTAACCCATTTCTACTGCGCTTCCTGGTGGCCATACTTACAAACACTTGAATGCAGATTGTATGTCGCCATTCAATGCTATTATTGAGAAAAAAACGATTCTTTACGCGATAAATTTATAATGTTCAAGCCTTTATAAAAAAAATAATAATAAAATAAAAAGAGAGAGAGGATATATAATACTCTTGTGGAATAAGAAAACTGCGTAATTCTTTATATACCATTAAGTCAACTTGGCGAATCGACTAACTATAAAAGCAATGCACAGCGTAAGACAGTATGATATAACAATGAAAATTAATTAAAAAATGTAAGTTTAAACACTGCTTATTCATGACATACAGAGTAAGCAAAGACGTCAGTCATAAAATATTGCAAAATAAATAACACAACACAAGAATTATACAATATAATATTATATAAGAGAAGAATTGGTCATATGTTGAACATCAGTAGACCTTTGGAGTTTGTAGGAATGAAGTAAATTTTTTTATGTTATTTTCATAGTGGAAAAGAATCTCTGCTATTAAAGACTATCATTATTATAATTTAATAGTACACATCACCAAGTTAATTTTTGTGTTTCAAAAATTAATAAAATATCTTAAACGATTTAAGACGCCACAAAAGCTAACACAATCATTTCTATTTTCACAGTACGGCCCCCAATATTTTAATTCCCCGGCGTACGTGGGACGAGTTAACTCTTCAATTTCAAGTACCTGGCGGCAAAGATGAACAATCAAAAGGAGAAATACAAAGGAGGAAGAGAATGAAAAGAAAAAAGTAATGATAAATATGGGTATCATATGCAGTCCGCGCGAAGTGCAATTCTCTGCTTCTTCAATGCCTGATTCAATGTCAAGGGTATAGCACGCTTATCTCCCATCAATGCAGCCAATACGCTCTCAATGCCGTTATCTGACATGGTCGTTAGCAGAGGAAATTTTAATTGCTTTCATATACAACATACTTCAATTATTTAATTGCAACATTGAATCACCAGTTTTTGGGCATTATTTTGCAAATATATTTCTGTGCGTAGATTTTTTCCTTTGGGTTTCGAGCTGTTTTACTTAAGGAATTCTTTTTTATTTAACACGCCATTTTCAGAGCCCAGCCGCAATTTTTTTCTTGTAACTAACGATCTTAATCTTGTGTAAGCAGAACAAAATTTGTTCACCGTAAAAATACTCCCTGACCCTTTCATCAAGCATCAGTGCGTTTCAAATGTTGGCACATCTCTTTCGTTTCTTCACGCACTACCTTATCTTTGTAGTTTCATAACGTCAGTGCTCCGACGCAGTCACAAAATATCTGCAGAGAGGATACCTACCGGAAAGAATAAATCGTTTTAACGAAGACGAAGTAAGGAAACCCGTTTTACCTGCTTTACGGGTGCATGCACAAAAGTTTTCATTTCAAAATATGCATGCACAAATATTTTCAAACCTTAAATATTTAGTGGATGTGAAATAATAATATTCTCTAACATATTGAACTTTTTGAAAACGTTTTAGTCATTTTTACATAACGTACTATTTTTCTTTGGTTCAGTTTTGTACCCCCATCGATATCGAAAATTCGTTTTAGCACGAACTATGTCCAATAGTGTTGAAAATTAGTATAACTATAACAAAGATGTCGACGTGGATTTTGAAACAATACATTCAAGTATAAGATGAACCAAAAAGGCTTCAAATATCGAAGGAATAGGCAAGGAAACATCCAAGTCTTGAAATATCGGGCATGAATTCTTTATCACCCAATTGTGAAATATCCCTCTGAAGCAAACTTGATCATCCTGATTTATTAAATGCATTACACACATATATAATTCTAATTAATCTCAATTAGTATATTACATAAATTCTTCTTTTCAGTTCTTTCAATTTGCTTCAATGGACAGATAACATCGGGCACCAAATTTTAAAATGTTTCTGTTAAAAAAATGCTGATATTTTGTGCATTTCATAGAGCTGAATTCCAAAATTACCACAAATTTGTCAGGTATGGTCTCGTTAACATGCAATTGTTACTAATTGAAAATATAATTCTGCGCTTTCCTCGGTCTCGAACTTACACCCATTAGAGATATTTTATTTCGGACTTTTTTACAATGGATTTTGTGTACTTAATTCTGTACAACAACCTAGAATGGTAGCATTTCTTGAGTTCCTGGAATGGTTTTCAAACTGTGGGATATTTTGATGAAATCCCTCACCACAATGTTCCATGAAATGATGGGAGTACATGATATATACACTAGGTGGCGAGTAGATGTCTCATCAATTGATGTCACTGCAGTGCCTCTGACCCGGAGGATCTGGGTTCAAGTTCCAACGGTGGTATAATTTTCACACTTTTCTCATTGTAAAGTTGATCGAGTTCAGCCACTGTCTGGAGGAGAATTCTAGCGGCCGGCTGGTTTCTCCTTTCTACACCAAGCGAATACCGAAGCAATTCCCTCCCAAAAGGCCACGGACCGCGCGCAATCTTTTCTTCCTCTTCCTTGTCCTATCCTCAGCCCTTACATACGCTTACACTTTTCATGCACTACACCACCACGCATGCCGGGAGCACAGAGCTTGCCCCGCCGATGGCAGGCAGGTACCTGGATGGGAGAAACCACTTAAGCCGACGAGTAAGTTGGAGCCGCATCCAGTGGGGGAAGTTCACCGGCGCATTCCGCGATAAAAGCATGCATTACACGTACCGAATCTTACACCTCTACGCACTTACACTTCTTGTATTTTAATTTTTCCAAATTAGACACTTCTGTAAATCGCTAGCAATAATTATTGATACTTTGTTTGGGAGAATAATTGAGATTCTCAGGGCTCATTCACTGAAGTTATTGTTTGCTTTTCCAATTTGCCGGAGATTGAGAGCTACATGCAAGACAGAAGAAATGTGAATATATTTCAATCAAAAGCAGAAAATACTGTGGTCTGAGGGAATATCATTTCATTTCCAGGTGGATGTTTGAATGGCTTTGCTAGGCCAAGTTGCGCTGGTGCTGGGGGGTTCCAGTGGAATTGGGCTGGCTACGGTAGAGGAGCTGCTTCGGGCAGGAATGAGTGTAAGTTTCATTTTTAGTTTCTCGGACATACAACGCAAGTCCATTCTAGGATCTCTCTACATTTTTCCTTTCTTTGATTGTCTCGATATTTGATCTTTGATATTTGATTCATGATAATGAAATCTGAAACCCCTCCAACTAGTAAATTTCTGTAAATCACGAGTTTTAGCTGTCTCATATTATGGTGTTTTCATAGTTTTAACAATATCAGAACAAATAAAAAAAGATCTTGATAAAAACTGACTTGTGAAAATTGATTTGGATAAAAAAAATATTTCTTCACTATGTATTATTTTCAAGATATAGGCTAAAGAACTGAACTGACGCACAATATCTCATGTTAGATCTTAAAATGTAGACTATAAAAGACAGTTTATAAAATTATTATGGACTACAATAGAGTGTGTGATTTGGAACTCCAAATGTGAGACACCCATTGTCCCTGATAGTGACTTAAGTGAAAATAACCGATAGCTGACAAGGGAAAGAATCCATTCAATTTAGTTTTCCCAAAGAGCGATTAGAGAACTTCGCTACGCCTGAGGCTGAGGAGCTCAATCAGACTCCCTCCAACTCTCAAAGTTGTCGAGCTATCAGAGGTGGATCCAAGAACGGTGAGTATGGATGAGATGAGATCCATACACCATATACCATCATTATTTTGAATATATTGAAAACACTCCGCACTTACCTTTTATCGACCTACTAGCGACCTACTATTCTAATCGATAGTTTTCCGCGGATTCTCCCACCAAACCCGGCAAATACCCCAACGAACGAGACACAGAACGCGTGTGATCTGCCAGTCCTCTTACTTGTCCCGTACATTCACCTCGTACACTGACATGCAATACATTCACACACATGTCTAGGGAGCTTAGAGCTGGCTGGAGGAGATGCCTGTTAGGAGCAATAACCGGACGCCGATATGTAGGTCGGCACCTCATGTCGCCATCGAGTGGACGAAGATCATCGTTAACTCCCACCATAAAACATGCACGACACTTACAGAACTAATAACAACAACATATGAGGTGTTCGGAATCACGATTCAATCAATTTAGTTTCACTCACTTTACTCAAAATAATTATCAGACTAGCTGGTATCACGAGCTTTTTGCACCTGGACCACTTGAGCGTGAGGTAACAACGCTCAGGTTTCTTTTTTTTTTGGTAGGTCAACATACGCAGAATTTCAGCAGATGAACAGGTTCATACTCTAGTCTTTGTGCAACTGCGATTCTTCACCATGCGCCATTTTGGTCGCTTTTCAGCTACTAACATTGGGGGCAATGGTAATCGTATATGGGCACTCAAACATCCTTGCCCGGGGTTCAAAGCCACGACCTTTCAGGCATGAGGCAGATATGGCTTTTCAGCCTTAGCGACCTCTGGATTCCAGACCGGCCACCATGCATGTTTGGCACTATAAACATCGTACTTCACATGTAGTAGTTGTCGTTGTCGCCAACAGGTAACGGAACAATACTACGGAAGACTCCAAAATGAACTGTAGGCAATCTATGAAAATTGTCAGTTACTTGACAAGTATTTAGCGTGAAGGGGGGTCAAATTCCTTTTTTAAACCAAGTACTGAATTTGTGAGTTTAGTAAATTTTCGTGCAATAAAACAATTCTGGAACAATTACAAAGTGCAATATTGACTATAACAGTGAGATTCAGAAAGCAAGCATATAATAATTGTTTTGGCTTAGCCAAAGGTTTGTCTACTATGTATTGCAGTGCGCAGGCAATTTTGCGTTTTACTGCTATGTGTAAGTGGCTGGTGTGGGTTCGTATCGGACCTTAGTCAATAGCCAAATCGTCTTTTCTGTTGCACTACGCCCTTAGAATATGAGAGGGTAATGCTTGTCTTCTTTGCCCTATTGTAAGGTCGTGTCGAGCTGTTTTAGCATTGCCGGAGCTTCGTCGGTTTGAAAGGCTTGATAAGCTTCTTTAAATGAAAGCCGTCTCAAGCATTGAGTGAAGGACTCGATACCAAGTTCTTTCCTCAGTACTTTCAACCGTTTCCGAAACGGAGGGCGTGCTATGAGCCGTAGAACTTTGTTCTGTACCAGCTCAAGTGTATTCCTGTACTTATGTGCTGTAATACACTACGTTGCCGCAGCGTAGGTGCCACAGGCACAGGCCGGCAACACATTTTATAGAGTACCAGGCAAAGTTCCAAGGGGAGTGTAGGTTCCCTCAAAAGAGGTTGTAATAGTCAAAATCTTTGTAGTAATTTTGATCGAATTTGCCTGACATTTAAATGCCAGCGCAGCCTTCGATCAAAAGTGACGCCAAAGTAGGTTGCCTTAGGCGCCCATGTTAGTTTTTGTGAAGCAAGTGTAATTCGTTATGGTGGTGTAAAACGTTTGGTGTAAATGTGTTTGCGGCGGGTGTAACAGATGGCCTGTGACTTTCCCGCTGAGAAAGTCAAGTGGTTTTGTTCCACCCACTTCAGCGTCAGGTTCATCTGTTTTTGAAGTATTTTGAGTTTGTGGTCTAGGTTTATTCCTCTTGCTAAGACGGCTATGTCATCAGCATACAAAAGAGCCGTATTCGTGGTATATGTGGATGTCATTGACATACAACGAGAACAGTAGCGGAGAGAGGCCGGAGCCCTGAGGGACTCCAGCCGCAATCATCCGCTTTGAGGATCTCGCTTTGCCCACTTTTATCATGAATGTGCGGTTTGTGAGGAAATATGTAATAATTTCGGTTACATCTTGTGGAAGGCAGCGTCGAAGTTTGGTGATGAGTGTGCTGTGTGGCACTTTGTGAAAGGCTTGTACCATGTCGAGATATATGATCCTGTGTGAGTAACAGATCAGCGGAAATCCGCTGAGCCATGCAAAGTGAAGCGGAATGGCCCGGTCTGAAGGCAAACTGTTCGTCTCGGATGAGGTTCCGCGAGAGAGCAGTTGGCAGAATTGGTTCAAGCGAGCCTCTCAAATACATACATCTAATAATGTGCATAAATACATAATGTATGTAATGGTCATAAATACATCATACATAATACATATAATGGTCATAAATACATCTAATAATGTTCTCTATAATGTATATAAAATCCCTTATCTAGATTGTATATTTTACATTTGTATGAACTAGTAAAATACCTGGCGTTGCCCATGTTCTTTCATATTCAATCATTGTGAAAAAGAAAATAGATCAATAATATATAAAGCACGGAGTTAAAGAACATTATTCGACACGTATCTAACAAGACTTTACTCAGGCACTCTTTCAGTACTCGCGCGCTGTCAGGTATTCTCAACAAACCACACACACATTAGAACGAAATATGTTTCATTCGAAATGGCCAGTTGAAACTTTAACCAACACGATAAGAGGGATACTACGCTATCTATTGTTGAATAAATGAATTAAAGGTACATGCAAAGCTGCCATCTGCTCTGATCGGCTCGTGGCAGTGAAATGGTTAAAAATGAAGTGCTATTTTGTTCTGCGGTGCTATTTAGTGGAGTTACAACAAATTAAACAGCACATAAACCTTTACAAATTGTAGATGAACCAAATTTCATGGAGATGGGTCACACGGTGTCGGAGTTTACCGCTCTTATATACACCAACTCACGTAGATGAATACATGTTGACACGTTTATCTCTTTAAAATTTTAGATAACATTAATAAACCGAGTTTTGGAATATTTTCATATGGCGTTGATCGAAATCTCTGATGGTTAAATATCTCAAATATGTTATTTCATTTTATTAACGACCAACTTTAACATAATAGTTGCCTACCAATTTCACACCAAAATATCATATTTTAGCAATTGTTTTTAGTATTTTTAGAATATTTATATTATTTTATTGTCGGTATTGAATTATTACAAACCGATTATTACAAATTATTACAAACCGAAATTTAACAGATTGTATAAACGAATGGTGCTACAACAACACGCATTTTCCTGCAACATTTGTAATGCTTAAAAAAATACACATTGACATTGTAAATTAATATTCAGCCTTTTCTACAAAAAACTGCCTTCAGTATAATGGACGTGAGATTTCTATTAGCATCTTCTGATTTTTTGAAGCGTTAATGAAAATCAGATCTGTATCATACTTATAAGCCCAGTTTACCTCTCTGAAGCTACTAGCCACCCATAGCAGACCAAAACTAGCTACATGCCATCATTTACTATTAATTACTCATTAATATCAATTTTTAAATGTATTACGCCACCCATTTTTTCAAAAAAATCGAGGGTCAACTTGGTTCATATTGAGGCTAGCTAGGCACGTAATAAAATGCAGCAAAAATACGAGAAAAATCGATCAAGAAAATATAAATTAATTACCAATTAATTACTCCATTTTAACATCATTATTAATTGTAAACAAAAATTCCTGCAGCGTTTTGCAAGTAATATTTTAAAAATATTTTATATTGATGAAATAGCTCCAGATTTAATTATTGCTTGAAATTTTTATAAAAGATCCTAAATATTCACAGTGAATATAGATTATCATGTATAAAGCAAAATAATTCCAAAAAGGAAAACAATCGGTAGAATTCAGAAATGTTTGCACAATATCCTACATTATACACACACACACACACATATATA